CACACATGCAGTTTGTTTAATTTTGGTTCCCTTTCAAGGCCTTCTTCTGGGATCTGTCTCAAACATGTGGCAGAGGAGTGTGGTGTTGTTGTGTACGTTCACTTCCCTGGCTGTTTGCATCGTCTGTCGCTGGCTGCCTGCTCCCTGTCTGTCGTCCTGCGAGCACGCTTTGATCTGGTCACATACAGAAATAGAAGGAAGGCGGGACAGAGCAGCCACTTGGAGCTGTCAGTCATTGCCCACTCTCAACTCCAATCCCCGCATGATACTGAACTACCTCTGCAGAAAAAAAAATAGCTAAGGCTTTTTCAATTTTCTGCCACTTACAGCTGAAAGGTAACAGAAGCGTGGGTGTGGAGATAATTTTGTTGCATTTCAGTCCATGAAATGTCACTGGTTTGAGTCACATGACAGGCTGGGAAAGTGCTGTTGAGGAAATTGAAACAGTCCTATTGACAATGCATTTGAGCAGCACTTTAGAAGAAATGAGGGAGCCCTTTCCCCTCGACTTGTCTTATCTGTAAGCTTTCCCATTGACTTCTTTTCTTCAACTTCCTTTAACTTTAAAATGGGCATGTATTGTTGCATTCAGCCGTGGTTGAATGGGTCTGGTTGGCTATAAATAGCTAGTTACAATACCGCACCTCTTACTATAAATCAATCCTCCCTTTTCCTGATTAAGTTATTGTATAACATGCTCTGAGCTATTTCATGCTGGTCCTTCTAGAGGCCACTGCATCTTTATTGTTAAAGCTAGGGTATGTTTGTTGATGTTTTTACAGCAATAAAACATGTCTATTAGAGGGAAATATGACCTTTTAAACTAGTTCTAAGCAGCTTATAGTACGTAATTGAATTGACCAAATAAACGTGTTTAAAGTCATTGTTAGAGCAGTAATAGTATTATATAGTACTCTTGCATGTACTCAAATGTAAGTATACAGTGAAAAAAACACAGCTAGGCTTCACTAGTTACTGTGTCGAGTTAGATACCCCAGAATATCCTGTTATGCACATTTGACGTGGAGGCAGTTTATTATATTATTATCAGCATTTTAAAGGTCAGTCAACGCATTGGGATAGTGCTGAAAACAACAATGTCTTCCTGCAGGTCAACGCCACACACAAATTAAGAACAAAATTGAGATGCTGTTCATGTTATTAGAGGCAGAAGAGATCACTATCATGGCTGCCTAACATCTTAGATGCTTAAACACATCTTAGAACAGTTAACTGGCACTGGACTATTTCTGGTGCCCACTAGCAAGGGTAGCAACGTTTACTTGTCTAGTAAACTACTTGCGTACATCCATAGTTTGCAGGAATGTAATGATATATCGTGAGAAAGTTTAATCTCGATACAAATATATGTGAAGATTTCAATTAGTGAGATGAAAATTAAATCGTGATATCAATCATGGTATCAAGACCTAAGTTTCTTTTTTGTGTCATTACAGCCCTACTGCTGTGAATCACTTTAAATTCCATCAGTTGTTGATTGTTAAGGTACATATGGCAGTTACACTTACAAAAGAGTGGCATGAAAGGCCACAGGGAGATTTGTTTGAAAGTTTAGTTGTCTGACGACCTTAACATTTTGAACCTGTGACAGAACAATCGTGTTTTGTGGCTGAAATGATCTTTTCTGACATACAAGCTCAATCTATTACATGTTTTCCAAAGTGGATATGTAGTGTCCGGGAATAAAAACCTCTAAATGATTAACTGAGCACCATTTTTATTGCACATCTGCAGTGATGCAGATAATGCCCAACTGGAAGCTCCTGACACACCACCTGTATCTGGTCATCACATCAAGTGTCACCAGTGTCTCATAAAATGTGACAGTAAGCAAATCACTGAATTGGAAAGGAGAAATAAAAGTAATCCCTATTGAAATGAATATACTGGCAATCTCTCTGGAGCAGACACTCAATGCATGATATAGAAAGGACTGAACATTGAATAGAAAATAATCTAAAATCAGGTTTACTCCCCTGATGAATGCACCGTTTAAATGAAAAATGTATTGTCAGTTGTGGTGGACATAAACACACTGATGTATAAAGCACTGACTAAATCAGTTTCAGAATTAGACCTGATCAAAACTCTGCTGTGAGGACGGGTATGTGTCCAGTTTTGCCGGTCCGTTGTGGTGCACAAGCTGATTCACTTTTGGGTTTTATTGAAATCCAGTGAACCAGCATTTGTCATTATGAGGCGTTGTGACTAATTAAAAAGCAGAAGCAGCTTTCAGCCCAACCCTCCTCTGCTGCTAGCTGCCTGAGGTTAAACTACATCATGCTCATCTTGGAGAGTTAACACAACCCATTCCAAGTCTACATCCAGCCCCATTGAAGCCTTTTAGAGCTCTTATTAATCTTGCATATGTGTGTAGTATCTTTACGAGGATAATGATGTTTGGTGTTACTTTGACTCTGAAGTGTAATTCAATGGCCATGTGAATTTTCTCTCACACACAGACACACACAGACACACACTGCACCAAGCACTCTGCCAGCACGTACACTGGAAAGTTCACTGCTCATCTTCCCTCGGATTAATTTCATTTACATTAATCTTAAATCATATGTTTTCTTTGAGACGCTGCCAAAACTCTGCTGCTTCACATCAGATATGAGTAGACCATGTCATTTGATGTTAAGCAGATGCTTTCAGTGATTAAAGTCACGGTCCCTTCACTTGCTTGTTGCTGTTCTTAACAGATAAACCAGTCATGTTATTTTATAATTACTGTCTTCCTTTCAAAGGCGAGTCTGTAAAGTACATGGCTTTGATTAGCATATTCATTAACAGGGATGAGTAGAAGCAGGTATATTTAATGTGCCAAACATTAGAAATAGAAATATGGATAGCTTACAAATGGGTAAAGTGCCCCGTGTTTTGGGGAGGTCTGGTTCTGACACTGTCCAGTGCTTGAAAGGTCACAGATTGAATCCCCCCAAGAGACCATATGTGCATCAAACAACAACAACAAAACAACAATGAACACTAAACTCATACCTTTGAACTGATAGGTAAGTCATTCTGGAAGAGGACATCAGCTACAGTAAATGACTTCAGTATGAATGCAGCAGGGAATGCTACCAATGCCTAGCTGTCTTTTTTAGGGTACCAGAAGGACACCAACACACTCAGTGTAACAGGCACAATGTATGCAATGTAATTCAGAATCGTAGAAGATCACAATTATATTTTCCCCCTGATAATATTGTTTAACCCGTGGTAGGTTTGGCCGTTGTGGAAATGTTGCTAATCAGTGAGCAGGTCTCCTTTTAAGGCAGCATGGTATTTTTCTGAGTTTTGATTCACTGTGAGGAAGCACAGCACTGATATGTCAGGTATTTTATTAGCCAAAACAAGATTCTTGTCTCGTTAGTACTTTGCATGTTGCTAAATCAATGTTCTCTGTGGATAAATATAGGGATATATGTCTGTCTAACTGCCTAGCTGACTAAATAAATAGACACAGACTGTGAAAGAGGACCTTATACATATTGCTTACCCCTGTTGTGCATTGTATCTTGTAGTTTTTTTTGGTTCCGAGGCCATGTGCCTTTAAGCTGTCTCCTGTTCGCATGGTCACTGGACACATTCGTACAGTCTCTGGAGAGATCAGTACTTCATCCACAGAGAACATGAACTGAACAACATGCAAGTACTTTAAATATATTCACTATATGCACAGTCTTAATTGAAACATAACTGATTATGGCTTTCACAAATAGGTCACTTGTATATAATATATAATACATATTCTATGTTTGATCTTTCTTCAGCTTTGTTGTCCTTGTTTTTAGCTGTATGTCTATTTCTATCTTCCTGTAAATTGTTCTTGGAATGGTGTGTACGTATATTCAGCCATACATATTGTATGTGTGCACATAGTACACATAAAGCTGTTTCTGAACACTGACTCAAATAATAAGAAATAAATGTTGGTGAGAAGAAACAACAGGCTAATAATTGTTTAGCTGTAGTTAGTAGTATCATTCAAAGATATATACAAAACATAACCAAGAAGGTTGAAATCTCAAGACCCCAACATGCACACACACACACACACACAAATGGACACACAGAAATACTTACCGGCAAGCACACTGAGAATCCATGCCAGCAAGATCTGGACCTTAGAAAGGTTCATATCTCCACCAGACGTTTATAGAAGCAGCCCTGAAATCTACAGCATCCGTTTAACAATGTATTGTTAAGCAGTTAGCAAGTCGCAAGCTAACTTATGAAGTGACTTTACACAGGAGCAGACATCTGCGGGGAAGCTTGTAGCAGTCACTTTGGAGTTAAAGTGGGTACTGGGAAGGTTGATCGGCCAGTAAGTGAACTCTGAGCTCTGGTTTCTCCCTTCCACCTCCCCCACGCAACAACACCCCAACCTCTCAGCATACTCAAGGCACGGGAGACAGCTGGGCGAGTGTGTGTGTGTGCGTGTGCGTGTGTGTGTGTGTGTGTGTGTGTGTGTGTGTGTTAAATATGCACAAATCAACACTGTGATCATTTCTCATTTATGTATAAGTTTTTCTTGTGATAATTCTCCAGTATAGCATCTTCTATCAGTGAGATGGAGAAGCCGAGGGTAGTGATTGGCATAAAGACAGTCGGTGAATGGGAAAGGAGGAAAGCCAAGCAGATGGACAGTGTAGGGGACAGAACAGAGACAGAGAGGCAGACAGGAGGACAGCTGAGAGCTGTCACTGATGGAATGAGAAGCATGTCCACACATGCTCCTATCCGTAATACACACACACACACACACGCACACTGCACCCACAACTCTGCCAACACGCATGCCATGACAGGAAACTCACCAGTGTGTGTGTGTGTGTGTGTGTGTGTGTGTGTGTCAGACTGAACAACTGACCAGTTATACATCTTACAAAGACAACAAAGGTTTAAGGTTTCACTGCGTCTCAATATGCTGTTTTTATGTAGTTTTTTTTATTAATAAAGTTTTTTAAATCAATATATGATTACAAATTATTTTTTTTTTTTTCCAAAGGTCAAGCCAAGTTTTTGAATTACTTTTGGCTCTCATAGTTTGTGATGCACATTTGTCATTGTTGGCATTTTATATTGACTGGTTGATCAAAAGAAAAGTCAAGAGACTAATAGTGAATGTGCTGTTTGGTATTGTGCCAATAGTCATTGTTTAACAGGACCTGTCACATTAGTAACCAGGCTGAGGTTGTTATGTTGCTCTTCATCCACTGGATGGCAGGATTTAGTTGAGGAAGCTGAGCCTAGAGCAGAAGCTTAGAACATCAAACCAGGAACCCATATTCCAACAAATGGGGCCTGTGGGTTGGTTTTCTTTTCTGATTAATAGAGTGAAACCCATTGGATCTGGCATTTATGAACCTTCTGAAGCCTCTAAGATACACACTACAGCAGCTCAAGTATTTCAAGTGGAAGCAGTACTGTAGCCTTACATTCTAGCTGGGAGCTTTTTTCTGAAGACATAATATTTTACAATATTTTATCTTCAAATATTAATATTCTTGTGTAAAATAATCAATTCAAATGTTCCCCCAGGATAAATGTGTGATGCTGTGCCAAAGGAGAATGCCGCTTTCATTGGAAGTAAACACTATTTGTACATTTCTTAACACAAGAGGCAAACATGGAGTTTAACAGGGGACTTTGGCTGCTTCTGTGGACAAGAACAGCAGTTTTTTCAATACCAATCTGATACCATGGTAAGTGTCCCGATCCAATACTTGTATTTGAGGCTTAATAATACAGGTGAATAGCAAAAAAATTGCATGCAACCAAGCTGTTCCTTACTGTTTTTTATAATTAATATATTAATATAGCCCATATGAGCAAAAAGGCAATAAGAGTAATTTATTAATGTAATCCACACAAAAGATGTACAGATGAAAATAAACACTCAACACAATACAGTTCATTTATGTAACCTGAAACAACAAAGACTGAAAGACACTTTTTAAGGGAGAGAGATACTCACTGGAGACAGCAACAAGACCAAAAAAAGATTACAGACAAGGACTGTCAGGCTATTTTATTGTTGTGCTGTTCTTTTGTAAAAAGGTAAGGAACAGCTCGGATGCAGACAATACAGAGCTATTCAGTGTCAGACAGGGACTCGGTATCAGCAGATACTCAATGTTAAATATTTTGGATCTGGACCTTGGGACATCCCTAGAAAATCCTGTTCTGGTCCTGCTGTCATACAACACATTTCTGCTGTTGGGTGATGTCCCTCTGCTGTCATACAACACATTTCCAACCGCTAACAAGGACAGTCCAGCTCATCTTTTCCTTGTTAGCAGTTGAGACTTGTGCACTTCTCCCCAATGTGTCACTTCTTTATTCTTTTATTGTTCCCTATTAGGGTTTGCCTGGCGCTCACAAGATTCAGAGATAGCTGGACACTTTATGATGTAGTTAGTTTGTAGTAAGTCACTTAGTACCCACTAGATGGCAGTACAAGACTGAGATACCACAGGTGAGGGCACTGGGCTTGATGACATTATGGCCTACACTGGGGTCAGTGTGTATGTTCTTTTGTGTGTGTGTCTGTTTGCCTGTTTTTCTGTATGTGTGGCACTCTAAGGTATGCTTCTCTCTGCCCGTCTGTACATTTGCAACCAATTGGTTTCTCTTTCTGTCTCTTTCTGCCCTTCTGTTTGTCTGTCTCACTCTGTCTGTCCCTGCTTGTTTCCTGCCTCTCCGTCTCTGTGTTTCTGTTCAGGAGGCACACACACACTGACCTTTATTTTTTCTCATACATGGGGTGAAAATTGAGACTGGATTTTTTGGGGAATCTGAAAAAGCACTTTGAGATGAGTAATCTAAGCCAACTGTCAGTGTCTTACAGAAAACTCATACTCAGAATTGAATGGCATGCAGAAATGTCATTATTACTATTCCCACTCTGGCCTAAAATCATTACCCAAAGTTCATCTGTCTACTGTAATAGATTGAAGATAATCCAGTGCACTGAGCTGCTGCCAGTCAAAACCTTGAAGTACCGAATACCCTTTAAAGATCTCCATTTCTTAGATTAGTCAATTTCTTCACAGTGACTGTCATCTCTTTGAAATGGCAGATATGTCATTTTAGAATGAAACTTAATTTACTTGTTGATGAAAAGGTTATTCAATTTAAGAAGGAAAGTTTTCTGCAGGAAAAATGGCAAGTGGTAAAAAAAACCAAACTGCAGAAGCAATTTATGCATTGAGAAATTGTTCTTTTGATTTACTGGAGGGACAGTTCAGAGGTTGGACTTACTGTGTTGTATGTATATCCTAAAATACAGCACTAATCCTGCTTGCAAATGAACAGACAACATTTAATATGTGACGGCAAGCTCATTGAGATGTACTGAATTAGAGAATCAGACATAGAATCAGACATTGTGCTCTAATTGGCAGAGACAAGACTTTCAGTTGAAGGGGGGAGATGTTGCTAGTGTTGGTGTATCACCAGGGATTAATTAAGTGTAACAGTGAGAGGAAGGGTCAGAGCAGAGCTGTTTAATGAAGATCACATGCACCCTTTAAAGCAGGTTAAAGTAAGCCTGCTTTTAAATACTATATAGATATACAGCATATACACTATACTAGGTGTGTGCAATTCCAAAGGATCTCTTTGTGTTTGAGATGAACTGATGCTTTGACCAAAGAGAGAAACGGCAAGGAAAAGTTAGATTTTACTCTGTCAAAAGCTACTTCTTGATTGTTTGGTTGTTACTTTGTGCTCTACTGAAGTCTTCCAAGGCATACTAACCATTGAAAGTTTGTACAATGGGCACAGCTTCCTGGTCTGTGAGCAGAAGCCAACGAATGACCAGCAGGGTGCAGCTCCATGGGTAAAAGTCAGATCATGCAACATGACCTTCATGTTGTAAATGATGGTCCACTTTAGAGTAAAATAGACAATAAAGCAGAGTATGTTTTACATATACATATACATATAAATGTGAATCATGGCCACAAAGAGTTAAAAACACAGTTATTGTTTAAAATGCAACCACAGTGAGGATGAAGGCAGCTCATCACAGAGTAGAATATGACAAAATAAGCCCTCTAGTCTGAAGTGACATTTATCCTTTACAAATACAGCTAAGTGTCAAAGAAAAGGAATTGCTAAAGTAAATGGAGGATTCTTGTTTGAATGTTATGCACTAGAGTCAAACTGTTGTATTGTAACAAGAAATGTAATGTCTGATCTGATTACTGTCTTCACACCACTCCTTAAAGTTTGCAACAACTGCAAACAGAGTTGAACTTGGGTTTTCTAAACAGTTATTATCTTGGCCTGTTGCTTCTATGTTTTGACTATGGTTATGTTCTATTGTTAACTGTAATTGGGTATTAAGGCTACACAACTATAATTCAGGCCGATTTAACGACTGGAAAAACTCCAAAGACTAACTTAAAACTCCTGATTTTGAATTGGTTTGTTGTTTTGGGGGAATACATTGCAGAGATAAACGTGTTAAATGTATCATTTAGAGAGGTGTTGATGTTCCCAGAGTTGTTGAATGGATCCAGACTGGAACACTGTAGGGGAGGTGGGTGTAATATTTCACCCGTGCAGGATGTTTGGAGATAAACTCTGAATGCTTTCAGATTAAAAGGAGTAGATCTGGCCAGCTGGCTGAAAGATGTCTGGTGAAGAGCTCACATTCCAAAGGTTGGAAGGAGATATGTTTAACACATGTTGAATGAAAATGTTCACAGTTTGAGTTGCTTGGTGATAATTTAAAGTGATTTATATTGGCCATATTGGTCTATGTGAAGGAACTGATCACACAAATATGTAAAGTTAATAACAGAAAGTAAAAGAGAGGAAACAAACGGGACAGACATATTGTAGATCTTAAACCAGAACAAGCCTTCAGGGTGAGTGAAAAGAGAGATTTTCTGAATTAAATCTATTTCAGGGGGTTTTATAAAAGGCCTTTGTTGTGAGACACCATCAGGAAAATTGAAAGTGTCCTTACTAGGCATGAAAAAATCAATTTCAACCTGTTTTTGTAAATGCAGCTTTGTGTAACAAATAATTTTGTGTAATACCACTGTTGCCTTAAGAGAATAGTTATTTGCAAAAATAAGAAAATATAATATATAAAATCTTCATGAGTATTGACTATTTGAAATATGGTATAATGGAGAGCACAAAATATAGAAGTTATATACTTTTTTTTACACATAACCGTAGATGAAATAAGTTATGTCACATTGTCCAACCCATGGGGAGGTCAAATTACAGTCGGCCACAGAGCTGTGAAGTCAGGAGAAATGGAAGGCAGGCAATGTCTTGCTGAAGGGCACTTCAGCAGGGTGCTGGTG